CAATAAGACAACAAAAGGAGATCAAGGGAATACAAATCAGAAAGGAAGAAGTCAAACTCTCACTATTTGCAGATGATATGATAGTCTACATAAGTGACCTGGAAAAGTCTACCAGGGAACTCCTACAGCTGATAAACACCTTCAGCAAAGTGGTAGAATAAAATATTAACTCAAAAAAATCTGTAGCCCTACTATATACTGATGACACATTTGTGGAGAAAGAAATCAGAGAAACATCACCCTTTACAATTGCCACAAACAACATAAAATACCTTGGGGTAACACTAACCAAAAAAGTGAAAGACTTGTACCATAGGAATTCTGAGTCTCTAAAGAAAGAAATTAAAGAAGATACCAGAAAATGGAAAGATCTCCCATGCTCTTGGATAGGTAGGATCAACATAGTAAAAATGTCAATCTTGCCAAAAGCAATCTACAGATTCAGTGCAATCCCCATCAAAATCCCAACACAATTCTTCACAGACCTTGAAAGAACTATTCTCAACTTTACATGAAAAAACAAAAGACTCAGTATAGACTGATAGCTGGGAAACCAGCATGGGACTATGTAGACCCTCTGAATGTGGGTGTCAGTAAGGAGACCTTGGAAATCTATGGGGCCTCTTGTAGTGGATCAGTACTTATCACTACCATAGGAATGGACCTTAGTAGCCCATCCCACATGGAGGGATACTCCCTGAGACTAGACAAAAGTGGGGTTGGCCTAGGCCCTATCCCAAAGAATATGACAGACTTTGAAGACCCCTATGGAAAGCCTCACCCTTCCCAGGGAGCAGAAAGGGTATTGGATGGGTAGGGTGGTAGTTGGGGGGGCAGGGGAGGAGGGGAGGGAGAGAGGGACCTGGGATTGACATGTAAAATAATTTTCTTTCTAATAAAAAAACAGAAATTGGCACAAAAATAGACAGGTAGACCAATGGAATAGAGTTGAAAACCCCAATATTAACCCACACACCTACGAACACCTGATTTTTTAACAAACAATCCAAAGTTATACGATGGAACAAAGAGAACATCTTCAACAAATGGTGCTGGCATAACTGGATGCGGACATCTAGAAGATTGCAAATAGACCCAAGCCTATCGCCATGCACAAAACTTAAGTCAAAATGGATCAAAGACCTCAACATAAATCCAGCTACACTAAACTTATTATAAGACAAAGTGGGAAATACCCTTGAATTAATTGGTACATGAGACTGCTTCCTGAATATTACACCAGTAGCACAGACACTGAGATCAACAATTGATAAATGGGACCTCCTGAAACTGAGAAGCTTCTGTAAGGCAAAGGACACAGTCAGCAAGACAAAACGCCAGCCCACAGAATGGGAAAAGATATTTACCAACCCCACATCTGACAGAGGGCTAATCTCCAAAACACACAAAGAACTCAAGAAGCTAGTCTCCAAAACACCAAACAATCCAATTAAAAAGTGAATACAGAACTGAATAGACAATTCTCAATAGAGGAATCTAAAATGGCTGAAAGGCACATTAGTGTTCAACATCCTTAGCCATCAGGGAAATGCAAATCAAAACAACTCTGAGATACCATCTTACTCCTGTCAGAATGGCCAAAATCAAAAACACCAATGACAGTTTATGCTGGAGAGGATGTGGAGAAAGGAACACACTCCTCCACTGCTGGTGGGAGTGCCAACTTATACAGCCACTTTGGAAATCAATATAGCGACTCCTCAAGAAAATGGGAATGAGTCTACCACAAGATCCAGCAATTCCACTCTTAGGCATATACCCAAAAGAAGCACATTCATACAACAAGGACATCTGTTCAACGATGTTCATAGAAGCACTATTTGTAATAGCCAGAAACTGGAAGCAGCCTAGATGCCCCTCAGCTGAAGAATGGATAGAGAAAATGTGGTACATTTACACAATGGAGTAATACTCAGCAGGAAAAAAAACCAATGGAATCTTGAAATTTGCAGGAAAATGGTTGAGTCAGGGGAAGAATAGAAGAAAACAAGAATGGAGATACCATAATAGAGACATTTTAGGTTTACAGAGAAATCAGGCACTAGGGAAATGTCTGGAGATCTACAAAGATGACACCAGCTAACAATCTAAGCAACAGAAGAGAGGCTACCTTAAATGCCCTCCCATGATAATGAGATTGATGACTGACTTATATGCCACCTGGTAGCCCTCATCCAGCAGCTGGTGGAAGTAGAAGCAGACACCCACAACTAATCACTGAACTGAACTGGAATCCAGATGCATAGAAGGACGAGTGAAGAGCAAAGGGGTCCAGACCAGGTTGGTGAAACCCATAGAAACAGCTGACCTGAACATCGGGGAGCTCTTGCTCCCCAGACTGATAGCTGGGATACCAGCATGGGACTGATCCAGACCCCAGAAACATGGGTTTCAGTGAGGAAACCACTGAAATCTACGGGACCTCCTGTAGTAGTTTAGTACTTATCCCTAGCATAGGTGTGTACTTTGGGAGCCCATTCCATATAGAGGAATACTCCCTGAGCCAAGACACACGGGGGTGAGCCTAGGCCCTATCCCAAAGGATATGACAGATTCTGATGACACCCTATGGAAGACCTCACCATCGATGGGGAGCAGAAAGGATGTGTGATAGGTAGGGTTTATTTGGGGGGAGTGGTAGGGGAGGAGAGGAGGGAGAGGGAACTGGGATTATCATGTAAAACAATCTTGTTTCTAATTCAAAACAAAAAAAAACAAAAATAAAATAAAAAAGAAAGAAACTATGCCTTGCCTGTTCCATGGTCCTTGTTTGGTTTCATCATCTGTAGGTTAGTGTGTTCTCTAAAACCTTACCAGCCATTCCAGCAAATGAGTGGATGGATAAGGCATGCCACAGACTCCCAGGCAAGACTAAGATGATGCTCTCAGGTACCAGCCAACTGGAGAGGTGAGCACTGGCAAGTGACCATGTCTAACCAGAGCCACATAGGCAAATGCTAGATTTTCAGTTCCAAGAAACACTTCAGGCCATGAGTAGGGTTTTCCTGGAGTGGGAAAGATAAGATACCACTGGTTAAAGAAATGAGTGAAAGCAGCTTGGTAGAGTATCAATCTAAATCTGTGTGTCTAGAGACCTCATACTGAGCTATTATTTTCTGGGAGAACAGTTAGGGCCACATATTGTCTCCAGCAAGAGCCAACTTTTATGAGGAATTGCAGTGTGCCTGGAACCCAAGGAAGGCCAGATGCCTCATATGGAAGGTCTTGAAACCAAGCAATGAGGTCTGCATAAAGAGCTGAGATGGGGATTATGATTTGGGAAAGAAGCAGAGCATGTCTCCAGTGACTGTCACAGCTTGTAATTAAAAGTCACAAAGCATTTCAGCAGCCTCTTAGAGCATTTGCAGTACCTCAGGTCCTACATGGTCCAATTTTCTGTCTCTGCCTCACAGCTGAGCCTGATCACAACTTCTAGTGTAACCCAAGGAAAACATTTTTTTTTAACCTTTCATGGACTCTACATTACCAGTGCAATGCAAATGGATAGGCTCCGGTAGTGAGCAGGGTAAGCTGTCTATACAGGTCACTAAAGATTATCATTTCTGCACTCATCTACTGAGTGAGACCAAACCTTTGCCTCTGCTGGAGACCATGCCCTGTCCCTGGCAACCTTTCCTCCCACCCTGAGACTATGTGAGACCCGAATGCAATAAGCTGATGCCAACTCATCTGGAAGCTCTTCGGAGATGGGGGCAGATGAGACCCACTGAAATGTGAAACCTGGGCCTGGGGCATTAACAGATGGGTCAAGGACCAACAGCCAGAAGGTGGCACTGCAGGAGTATGAGAGACTTTCCTCAGTCTCACCAAATGACTTTCTTTTTCTTCCTGCATAGCTGGCCCCTGCCTAGGTTGTCCCTTAATCTCCCTCATAGCTGGAACGTTTGGACAGAGGTCAGAGTCAGAGAAAGGCTGTGGCAATGAGAGATTCTCAAGGGATGCTGGAACTTCAGTCACCTTCCATCACCACTTCCGTGATGTGTTTTCTCTTCCTTCATACAGATTAGAATCAGTGCTTGGAGCAGGAGAGGGAGGCACTAAGCAATCTGGTCAAACTCTAGCATCTGCTTCATAAAGGCAGGGGTGGAGGGCAAGAGTTGGCCCAGGGCACTCCAATTGCTGCTGGAAGTCATATCTGGGGTCAGTGTCCACCGGGCCTACATCAGTAACCTTCCTGCTAGTTCTACCCCAGGTCCATAGTCTTGGATCGTCTCTAGTGTTTCAGGCTGCCTAGCAGACCATGGCTGTGTATAAAATATGGATGTGTGCACAAGTGTAAACATGAAAATGTGTGTCTTCTATGTATGAAACAGTATATTCATGGAGAAAGGTGTGTGTGTGTGTGTGTGTGTGAGAGAGAGAGAGAGAGAGAGAGAGAGAGAGAGAGAGAGAGAGTGTGTGTGTGAGAGAGAGAGAGAGAGAGAGAGAGAGATGCTATGTCCTTTATGTACATGAGTATTTGCATATGGTGTGTCTTCTGTGTGTGAGCAAATACATGTAATGTGGTGTGTCATCCATATGTGGGTATGTATGCAGAGCTGCCGTCAGTCAAGGTTCCACCCAGCAATGCTGAAGAGTGATGCATACAACAGTATCTGTCAGAGCCAGTATCCTGGCTGGCACCTAACGCTTCCCCCAACTTTTGTTCTTTTACATTTATTCATTATGTGTGAATGCATGTGCATGCATCACAGTATGCATGTTGAGGTCAGAGGAAAACTTGTAAGAATCTGTTTTCCCCTTTTAACATGTGGTCCCAGGAATCAAATTCAAGTTGTCAGGCTTGGAATTAAGTCAGTGTCTTTACCCACTCAAATGTCTCCTAGCCCACCCTTCCACTTCCTCCACCTTTCTCATTCATTCTTCAGTTGCACCCCAGCCTGGCAGGAAGCCTAGGTGTCATCAAGAATCCCCATGAGAAATATGGGGGGGGAATAATACCAAAAGTGGTTTCCAGAGCCAGTTACTTACTGACAACTTGGATAAAGTACCCCCCCACCAATTCCAGATTTGATTGGAAACTATTATGCCAAAAGTTCCACTCCAAGCAAGGCTCAGTCCTTTAGAAGTCCCTAAAAAGGAACAAGGAGCCACCCATTTGTCTTTAGTTTCCTGAGAGTCTTCATGAGGATGAAGGCGATGATTTAGAGACTGTATCTTACTGTCTGCAGAGTAAGGTTGGTGTGTACTTCAGAGACTTTCCAAGGACTGTAAATAAGAATCAACTGAACAAAAAATTGGCTCACAGGACCCCAGAATGGGCCAAGCAAGGTGTAGAAGATTCCTAGGCCTGAATATGGCTGAGACGACTCTTCTCTCCCCTCATTTCTTGAAGCCCCTCTCTGTCCTATGAGTTCACACCCCATGCCTTCAATGTCATCTCTGCTGACCTAGAGATTCTGACCTCCAAATGTTCCTCTACTTCCACAGCAGCAGTGATGTACTTTTGTATATGTTTACCTTATTGATTGTTGAATAAAGTTCCATTTGGCCAATGAGACAGCAAGTTAGACAGGACTAGGAGTCAAAGAGGATTCTGGGAGATGTAGTAGAGAAGTGGTGATCCAGGCAGGAGGTGACATAGCAAGGAGAAACAGGAAGGGTTCCCCTTTTCCCTTTCCTCCTCCACCGGTGCAATGTGAGCCACCAGCAAGGAGGGACGCCAATAAGGCATCCAATAAGATAAGTCTTATAAAATAGATAGATGTATGATAATTGACACTGAGCTAACAGATGAAAATCCTAGTCATTGGCCAAGCAGCATTGTACCTAATACAAGTCTCTCTGTGCATTAATTGGGGCCCTAATTCAGGCGGGCAGCTGGCGTAAAGCACACACGTGGCAGTAGGGCTCGGTGGCTTTTGGCAGGAAGATTTATCGTAACAGTGATAGTTCACATTCAGCAGAAAATTCCTCAGTGGAAGTCACGTGGCCAGGTTTTCTGGAGCCCAAAGCTGATTCATCACAAGAAAGACCGCAGCTTCACTTCACCCATCCAGTCCCTTAGAGGTCAGCCATGCTGAGGCTGTAATACAGTCTATATGATCAAAATTCAAATGCTGTAGGTGATCTTGGCTCCATACCCAGGGCTTTCTACTTCTTAGGATCTGACAGGATACTTGGGCTGGCATTTTGGAGGTAGGACATACTCCTTAAGATACCCTATCACCGTCTACGGCCATACCATCCTGAACGCGCCCGATCTTGTCTGATCTGGGGGCGGGGGGGGGGGGAGATACCCTATCACCACCCTGTTCAGGGGTATTTTGAGAACTTTCTAAAGTGGGCATGATCTGTACCAGCTAAACTACCCGGCTTCAGTGATCAACTCAGTTTCCAGATTTTCTTCCATCCTCCAAGGTGGAATTGAGACTAACCCTCTAAGGAAGGCATGGTCTTTTCTGACAGACCCATTCTAAGCTGTCTAGGGTCCAAGACCCAGTTGACTATCTCATTAGTATCCAAAAGACACTAGTCACTGTAGAGTTCAGGAACTGTGATTGCTGTGTGCCAAGAACTGGGAACAAAGACCAAATATATGTTTATCATGTGTTATAGCAAAGGGACACAGAAAAGGCCAGAGCCTAAGATTGTGCTTAGAGGCTAAGGTGGAGAGACAATGCTTAGGCAGGCTTGAAGGACAGTATCTAGGAGGATCTAGGAGTGGCAATGAGATCCATGAAGCAGGAGGTGAGGAGTGAGAACCATAGTGGGTAGGAAGGACCATGGTGGGTAGAACCACAGAGCAGGAAAAACGCAGGGGTGGAAAGAGCAGTGGTAGGTGAAGCCATAGAACAAGCTGCAATAGAAAGAAGTACCAGGAGCCACATCCTAATAAATATTTTAATATCACCTAAGGGACAATAATGTCTATCCCACAGCCTTGTTAGTGTAATGGAGTCTCTGGCACAAAGAAGGGACTCAACAAGCCCAAGCTCCACTGAGCCCAACCTTCAGCCCCAACCATTCTGATTCAGCCCTCACACGATCAAGTACAGAGCTGGGGCCTGGCCTCGAGTTGTGCTCTGAATTCACTCAGCTATGGCCAATAGCCCATGCACACTCACTGATGCCTAAATCCAGGTTAAAGAGGTTGGGAGAGAATGAAGAAAGCAACCTGCTGGTATTATCGAGTTGTGTGTGGATATGAGCATGGTTGGGGTCATGTATAGTCAAATGGATGCTCCTGTCTGAGCATGTATACATGTATAGGTGTAAATGCACAGAGGCATAAGCAGGTGTACATGTGTATAGGCTATATGAATACACAAACACATGTTTACATGGGGGTTTACTGTCTTGGTGATCCTGGTTTACTGTCAGGTTAGGCTGAGTAAACAAGCAATTCTCTGTCCTGAGAATACCAGCCCAGCAGAGGGTCTGGAACCTTGGTTCTTTTTACATTCAGAACCTAAAGTTCAGGACATAGGGTCAAAAATATTGAACCTAGAGAGAAATGACTTCCACTAATTCCAAAATGTAAAAGATCATTGATTTTTATGTCTAAGATTACACCAAGTTTTCATTTGTGGGATTTACTATAAAGTATGCATTCCCAAACCAGACCCTCCTGAGTTTACTAATTTATGTTCACATTAGCAGTCATCCAGCCATGAAAGCAAGAAAAGAAGGGCCAGTCCAGGGTGAGAAATCTCCAGCCCCAGACTACCTCAGCAGCTGCTGGCCGTTTTACATGTCCTCTTAGGGACATCACAACAGTTTTTCTAACACTTCATACTCATGCCAGTCTTCTAACAGACTGGCTGTCTTGGACCGCCCTTCCCTAGATTCTTTGCTGACTCTTCTACCCCGTCCTAGAAATGGAAACCTGAGATAAGAACTTCCTAGGGCCCTTGGGTTCCAGGTAGATGAATGATCTGGCTCTGCCCACAGAACCCAAACCCAGAAATTACCAGAAGCTACAGGCCCACTTCCCTCAGGGCATACAGTAATTTAGAAGTCTGAGCCTCTAAGGATTACTAGG